CTTTCCCTTTTGTTTTAACAACAGAGCTAAAACTCCTAAGTATAGAGTGGTGGGAGAAATTATATCATGTGTGGCAAAATCATTTGGCCTGTGTAAGTGTTGAGAACATGTGTTAACACAGAATCTGCAATGCTCTGGATGTAGCCTGCAAAACCAGCTTGCTCATATTCGTACCATTGCAACCTGAAGTGAGAACAACTGCAGCCTATTAAATAAAGAAATACAGATATCTGTGTGGAAGCCTGGCTGATGCTGTTGAACAGTCAGATAAATGATGCTCGGGCCCTGAACTCTGAAGCAGTGCTTACTGAGGTGAAGCAGAGATTTCTAATAATAGACCTCCAGCTTGAGAATTTCAGTGCTTATCCATCCCTGTATATGAAGTGATGGCACATGAGAGGATGGCCTGAAGGACTTGAAGATATATGTGTGTGCGTGTGCATGCATAAGACTCAGAATGAATTTCTTTGCTTTGGGAATGGGGGGAGAGTGGGAAAGGGAAACATTGATTATATGTTTGTGCTAGGCTTTTGTAGCAGGAAACAGGAGATAGCATACTAAAACTTTAAACTGCATAACCTGTCCTGAGCTCTGGCAGTTTATTGGGGATGACATTACAGTTAGAGTGTCTCTCTTGCAGCATCTTTGATCTGTAATGGGAGGTCATTTTTGAATAGGGAGAAATCCCCTCTGGTGTGCAGGAAAAGAAGAATAGAGGGTCTGTCACCAAATGCTAAAGCTTAAGCATAGTTTTAAAGAGGCACTCTGATCTCTTTAAAGGATATTTCGTTGCCCAAAGTTTGGTAACATTTGGGAGCTGAGCTTTCAGAAAGACATTTTCTTCTGTCACATGCTGGGGCCCTTCAAATTGGTGGTGTTAGAGTCAAATTCTGCCTTTAGGGTCCAGGTTTTCTTGGCATTTTGTGGGTCTCAGTAACATGCAAAGGCCCATACTTAAGGACGTGCAATTCAAACTCTGCAGAATCCCAAGTAGGTGGCAAACTTCCAGAAGCCCCAGCTTTTCACAATTCCTTGACCATGAACTAACTTCCTGACCATGTAAGTTATTAACACTGTCAAAAAAAAAATCTAGGTACACAGCTGGTGTCCTGGAAAAATGGACATTCACTGTGAATAAGGACAATCTACCGCTACATTAATGACCAAAGTGTTCCTGCCAGCTACATGCTGTCATGGGGTTTTTTTGTTTGTGTTTTTAATCATTTTCACTGGATTAATGAACGGTTTTAAAATTGCTCAACAAGCCTCACACAAAAGGGAGCAGGCATTCCAAACCAGAGAGCTCATGTTGAAACGCTGGGGCTCTAGCCCTCCCAACCAGTTGAAGAAGTATTTGTCACCTTGGTCAGCCAAAGGTCACTCTCGGGAATATCAATCAAATGAAAAACAACGTGGGTATGAAATTGAAGTCGCAACACCCTGCAAAAAAATCCAAAGAGAAATTAGGCATGCAGGGCTGGTCTCCAGCAGGGATTTTGGCATCAGGTCGGCAGAATGGTTTAGCACGTGGAGGTCTGGACAATAATATCAGAGGCCTGCATTTGTGTCAAAACTCCAGAGCTGCTGCAGTGTGATGTTGGGAGCCCATCCCTTCTCTGTGCCCCTCTTTACCTTTTATCTGCCATCTTTTTTTAAGGACAAAATTTCTTCAGAGCAGCACGTGACAGTTACCGTGTGTCCTACCACACTGGTCCTGAGCCACACTGGAAATCACAGGTGCTGCCTGCCAGGGTGAAATTCCTTCATGTGCACAAGCTCTAAGTGTGATCTTTAGAGGTGATGACCACACTGTGGAGAATGACAAGTTGTGTTAGTCAGTTGAGAAGGGGATTCTTTACTACGAACAGCAAAAGCTGGGAAATAGCCTCTTTAACTGGGCCTATATGAGAGCTCAGTCTCTCTTCCTACCCCACGGGAGAGTTACAGTACATACTTACCTATTAACAGTCCCTGAGGGAAGAAAAAAAAATGAGAGGAAAAACCTGAATTCCTTCCAAAAAAATTGCTGAGGCCCTTTGTAGGCATGAGGCTACATTGGTTTAGCAGTCTTCACTTTGCCTCTTGCTACTGGTGTGCAGAAGATGCTAACTTACTAAAGGAGTCCTTGTCTTAGTAGTGTAGTCCCCAACTACACCCTGTTTTCTAAGCCAGAGCTCTGGGAATAAAACCCTTCTTATGTAACAGAGAAACACCTATCTATGAAACTTACAGTAGGTGTATTCAGTTCTTAAATGAGCTTATCTGGGGGAAAGAGGGACTAAAATACAAGATAGACTACCACTGCATGTGACCACTCATATGCTATCTGTCTGGTTTGTCTTTTGTAGATGATAGTCCTACTCCACCAGCACCATTTGATCACCGGATTGTCTCAGCCAAACGGGTGGGGATCAGCAGTTATTATAATGTCAGCAAGAATGAAATCCTGGGAGGGTAAGTCAGGTGAACCTAATCAACATGGAAATCAAGGCACAAATTTACAGCCAAGCACCCCGGGAGGTGAATAGAAGCAACATGCCTCACTAAAGTCAAAGTCATGAAAGCCTAAGCTCTAACAGTGCTTTAGAGGGATGAAATCAGGAGGCTGATTTTACTGTGTGAGTGAATTTTGGCAAAAGGTTTGGCACCAGCAGACTTGGCTTGTATTTGGTATTGTTCTAGGTCAGCCAGCTGCCCTCAGGCTTTATGACGGGGCTCCTAGGATGCTGTAATACTTTACCTCACATTACAGCCAGCAGGACGTAGAGACATGTTGTAGCCTTCTTTCTCTCAGTGGGTCCCGTCCCTGAAAACACATGCATGTTTTCAGATAGATCAGTAGGCTAATCCGACAGGCTGTGTAGTTACTTGATCTGTCATGCTGACATTGTTTAGGAGTGAACGATATTGTCATTTTTGATGGTGGCATGGGCTTGGGTAAGGCTTTGTTTCATCATGAAATCACAACCCTCCCTTGGAAGAGAATGATGAGATGGAGAGGGGCAGATTGTGCATATAAGTGAGTTATTATCTTTACAGTATGTTGGCTTCCCTGGGATTAGTCGTTGCATGTCATGAGGTGAGTATAGTGAATCATACCAGTGGGATAATATCAGCTAGAACAGTGTGTAATTTTGGTATACCTAAATGAGTAGTAGCAAGTCTAATCCACACAACAAAATGGCAGCAATAGAGCAATTGAAATGGTACCCAGTAGGGAGAGGATAATTTCTGTTGTTTATAACCTAGTTTACATTCAGGGCTGGCACCAGTACCAGTGGATGATTTATTTTTTCTCTCGTTTTATTCCCTAGAGGGCGATTTGGTCAAGTGCACAAATGTGAAGAGAAAGCAACAGGTCTCAAGCTAGCAGCCAAGATTATAAAAGCGAAAGGTCCTAAACAGAAGGTTGGTAGAGTGTCATATTAGTTTTTTGCTCCGCAATGGATCCTGCACTGTTCTTCAGCTACACAACAGACCAGACAAAGCAGTGTTTTCTTTAACGGTAAAAACATTTGTCAGACCTATAACATAGCGTATTTCTTCCCAAGCACACTGTATCTTTTGTTTCAATGACTTGATGCCACTGTGAGGGATGCTAATAACAGGCACAATCTGGGCTCCTGATATCAACACAAATACAGATGAGAAGAATTATTCTGGCCTGTTTTGCAAACCTCATGGCCATCTGGGGCTTGCTTTCGTAGGAAAGACATGTATAGTATTGTTTGTGTGACAGCAGTGTCATTAATGGCATTCAAGGGTGGGATTTGTCTCAGCTAACTGGGGTTGCTAAGGTATAGCTGTGGCCAAGCTGGTCACCAAGAATCCCCTTATAGTCAATGGAGAGAGATTGGCACCACCAGAGAATCATTCAGCCCATCCTAAACTGCATGTCTAAAATAGTTGGGCTGAATGGAGGTACCAATCTCTCTCCCCTGACTGCAAAGGGAGGTTTTGAGGACTGTCCTGGCCTTCTCTTACATAGCTTGATTTTCTGTACCTGCAGCTGGTTGAACCAAGTCTTATTCTGCTTCTCTCTTTCCTTTACATCTCTGTGAACCCACCACTTGTCCATGTGGGCTCCCCCCTTCCTTTTCCCCTGAATCGGTTAGTATTGAAGCAGTCCCCCACCCGAGCTCTGAGTTCAGTCTAGTAGCTCCTATAGCCTTGACATCTACCACTACAGGAGCAATCAACGGAAAACCCTGGGTTTGGTTACCACGAGTGAAAACAGGAAGATAATGTAGATGTCTGGTTCAAACTATGTCCTGTTTCATGTAGCTTCCTTAAAGACAAGGCTTCTGAGACAATACTCATGAATCTTTACAGGATGAAGTAAAGAATGAAATCAATGTCATGAACCAGCTGAATCATGTGAACCTTATCCAGCTGTATGATGCCTTTGAATCAAAAAATGACATTGTCCTAGTCATGGAGTAGTAAGTGTGTTCTTTTCTTTCCCTTTCTGTCTTTACCGTTTTTGCTGGAATTGCCCATTTCCTTCTTACTTTCTCCTGAAATTAGAAATAGAGCTATTACAGGTGGAAAGGACATATGAAAGATGTTCTCAGGAACAAAATAAAATGAAATTTGAGAGAAAGGTTTTCCCATGCAGCCATTTATGCATTTTTTCCCAGTGATGTGCCACATTTCAGGTACTGTAAAGCCACCGCTCCATTTGAAGATAGAGCTGTGTTATATATCTTCTCTTTAATTTCAAATTTTAATTTGTGTCGGCTAAGACACAGACCTCTCAGAATATTTCCAGTTCTGTGAGGCAAACGAGAAGACATTTTACAGCGAAGAGGAGCCAGCTATAGGTGTTGTGACTAATCCTTATACCGGGTGCCTGAATGGATAAACCTGTTTTTTATGCTGGGTTATCAGAATAATTAGGCACAAAATAGCTGCCTTAAAGTCGAGTTAAACAGATGTGGTCCTAAGGAAGCCAAAAAGGGTGTAACTAAAACATTGAAAGGTATGGCAGAGGGTTCAAAGTTACGTGAATTTGGCTGTTCTGGACATTCTCAGATAGTCCTCTGAATTTGGCCTGCATGGTTAGCATATCACAAAAGGTAAACGTCTGTGTAGCTATGAATGGGTAAGCTGGAGGCATTCTGAAACTGATGAGAAATTAAGAAGTCAATTTTTTTTACTTTAGACAGTTTCAAACTGATATTTTTGATCATGTGTCTCTCTTAAACTCTGAGGGAGGAGATCATGGATTTAAATGCAGATTCTCCATCGTGTTGTCTTGATTTTCCATGTGACTTGATTCATTTCACTGGTACAAAATGATGACTCAAGACAACGTAAGGTTCAAATTTCAAGACTTTAGTACTTATCAATGGATGGGAGACTGTACTCAGAACTTGAAGAAGTTTAGGCCAGTATGCATCAGAATCTAGTTCTTCGAAAGCAGATCAGAGTGCAAGCTCATAGTGTAGACCCACCTTACTGAACATGATTGCGAATGGTTAAAATAGTCAATAGTAAAAATTCTGTATTACTCTTAACTGTATGGAATTGGATTTGGAGTTGGTCACCACTTTATTGTCTTTCTTTCATCAGCGTGGAAGGAGGAGAGTTATTTGACCGAATTATTGATGAAAACTGCAATTTGACAGAGATGGATACTATCTTGTTCATGAAGCATATCTGCGAGGGAATTCAGTACATGCACCAAATGTACATTCTTCATTTGGATCTCAAGGTAGAGAATTGAGATGTATGTTTTGTGCAATGACAGCTGTGGAAATTCTTATTCTTAATGGCAGGCCATACAGCTTAGCAGATTCCCATAGCAGAAACAACAAAGAACCTTATTCTGCTTTCCTTAGACCAATGTGTATTTACTTTAACCACATTGAGAGCAGTTAAATTACTACAGGGGTAAGTAAATTAGAGGAAAATTGTGGTCATATGTTATCAAGCCTCATAGCGCTTGAATTTTCCACAGACTGATTTCACAGAAAGCCAGCAGCTGACTACAAATGTCATGTTATTTTCAATTTTGATATTTGGATCTCAAGATGTTGTGCAAGTATTATTTAATTCAGGTGCACAATGGTGTAGCAATTATCCCCGGTTTTTACCATGCAGAAAACAAGACATGAGTGAGTGGAACTAAATTCAGGAGTCGTTCAGGATCAGTGGAAGTCCTGCATATCTGTCTGAGGACTAAACTCATGTTGTGGTCATGGAAAGGTATCAATAGATCACCAGCTTAAGGGAAGATACATTAAAATGTACTTCCTAAAATGAAAGATATAAAAATAGTCGGTGGCTGATGTAACAAATACAGTACGTCTGTGTTGGGTTAAGCAATAGCTGCTAGCGCAGCTGAAAGCCCAGAGAAGGGTGGCAGATTCTCTGCCATGTACTTGCTTAGTTATCTGAACTATTGAACTGTATACACAAAAAGTTCCCTCACTTCTTTTTAAAAAAAAAAATCCACCAATTGCACATTCTTACTCTGTTTGACTGCTGATGATTAACTGTCACCCCTTAGAAAACATTTGTTGTAAAGGTATTTTTCATTGGACTGTACATTTGAGCTGGCTCTTTCTCCCTTAACCCAAGTTTTTATCAAATAATAGACTTGTTTCTTACCTCTGTTTAATACAGGAATAAAATGGGATGATGTCTTTAGTTTTATGACTGGCTATAAAGCTTCCTAGTAATCCCTGAGCTTTGCAACAAAGCAAAAAGAAACAAAAAGTGCACAGGACGGTTTTCTCTTTGGTGAGATTTTTATTACAGCTGCTGGTTTTGGCTTGTAATAACTGAGTTAATATACTACATCTTTGATGTTGTTAGCATATATATTACTGCAGTGGTTAAGCAAATGAGGAGATGCTTGTTGGGACCTGCTTTGGTTGCTAATCAATGACCAGACTCACTTTTCACTTTCTTTATAAACATCCAGTTACCTAGAAACCTGTCAAGCAGAAGTTCGCATGGTTCTTTGGGACACATTAATTATGTTCTTGGATATGGCACAGTTTTAACATGAGGTCAAACTGCTGACAAAAAGATACATATACAATCCCAGAAATGCTTCCCATAGACCTCTTTTCATGTGCTTGCCAGCACACGTTTTGCATGTTCATAGATTGCTGTCAGTAGCAGATGAGTTTGGGAAAGAAAGCTTGAAACTGAAAGAAAATCATCCTGACCGTAATTGTCCAGGACCTCAGAAACTATGGACATATGGACATACGGTGTTTAAAAATCCTATGTGTTTAAAAGTCCTACATGTAAAACGAATTAGTAACGGTGACAAAGGTTAACTAATGTTTTAAGTGTCGAGGGCTGTTTTGTTTCAAAGAGGACTCAATGAGCAACAAGACGGGAGTAGCTATAAAACTGCTGGCAGTGAATATGAGACTCTATTTTAGGTATTTACATTTCAAAGACAATTGGCCAAATTCTGTTCTCAGTCCCTTCTGTATGAATCTGGAGTAATTCTAGGAAGTTAATGGATTCCTGCCAGGGAAGTGAAGAACAGTATTTGGCCCTGTGAAAATCCAGAGGGATTTAACCTGGGGATCCTACCTTTTGCTAAAATATCTGAGAAAAGCATACCGTTGATGTGACTAGCTTAATATATCAGTGTTTAATCATACAGTTATTGCCAGAACATTCATGAACTCATAAATGTAAAGCTGTAAGATAAACTTCAGAGCCTGACAAATTCGTGGATTTTTTTTGTAAAAAATCAGTGTCAGCTTATAAAGGTCTGTAAAATCACAGCACCAGCATCCTGAAACCCCTCTTTGGAAGTGAGCATTCTCTGTCCACTCCCTCTAATGAGTTCTTTATCTGAACTGCTGCCTTATGTTAAATTGAAAAGCCAAGGAGAAGAAAGATCAGTTGCAAGGCACAGACCACACAACCCCAACTGCTGTGTGATAGCAGGAAGGGGTACCCATGCAGAGAAAGGAGACCAAGGAGAAAAGCAAAAGGTGCTTATGAGATGTTTGCTGTGTTTTTAGAGTTTTTATCCCTACAGTTTGCCAGAAGCCCAGTTTTTCATACTTGTTTCTTATTAAAGTGTTTTTGTTTTCTCTTGGCAGCCTGAGAATATCCTGTGTGTGAACCGAGCAGCAAATCAAATAAAAATTATTGATTTTGGATTGGCAAGAAGGTATGTGCATGTGTCCTTGCTAAGTGTAAATAAATGAGGAAACAATAAAAAACGTATTACATCTCTACAATGATATATTTGATACATAATGGTGTCCTACTGTTCTTAGGACAAATTTTATGTGTCTCTTTTAACCTGGGATATCTTTTAATAAGGAATGTTTGGAGCTGAGTGAAAAAGATTTATTCTGAAGCCTTTTTTGAGGTACAAGGTTGAAAGAGGGCTGATTCTGACTAACCAAGCACATAAGTATTTTGGAACAGCTAAAATAGACAAAACCAGTGGTAGATCTTGTCTGGTCTCTTGTCTCCAATGTTATGAGATTCTTCAAAAGACAGTATAAGAGACCACGAAGGGCTGTTACAGTATATCCCATGCTATATCACTTTCTAGTTTAATTAGGTACCATAACCTCAGTGAAGGATTTACTGGTTAAAAATTCCATGCCTATGATATGGAGAAGTCCCAAAAGGATGATAACATCTGCTCTGAGTAGTCCTTGAAATCTGATTATCTTCCTTTGTATAGCAGTTGTGTTTTGCCCTCAAGTACAATATAAAGCTTGCAAACATTTTTCACTCTGTATATGGGTATATGGGTATATTTATTTTTTCTTTGTACCTCTGCCTGTCCTTGTTTTCCTACTGAATTTCCTGTGTGCTTCTGAAATCCCTCTGCGTGCTAGACAACTTACGATACAATTAGAGCTGTAATTGACGTCCTCTGTTAATGTTTCCATTTCCAAGGTATAAACCCAGGGAAAAACTTCGAGTTAACTTTGGGACCCCAGAATTTCTTGCTCCTGAAGTTGTGAATTATGAGTTTGTCTCCTTTCCTACAGATATGTGGAGCGTAGGAGTCATTGCTTATATGCTGTAAGTAGGATTCAGTATCTGTATTGTAAGCTGTTTCTAGGTTGAACTGTGTCAGTCATTCAAATTTGTTGTTATACTTGGAAGATTGACAAAATCTGTACCCAAAATAGAAAATGTAGGCTTCTTTCCAAATTCCATATTCAGTAATCTCTCCTCTTTTCCAATCACCATGAACTTTTATTCTTTGTTTCACTGCGCATCTCTCACGAGTGTTTGAGCATCACAATTCCAGAATACTGTTTTAGTAGTTCCCAGTAGCTATGTGCAAGAATGGTCAGAGGTCTAGAAAAATATGAACTACCGTGAAAGACAGTAATGCTTGGTTTGTTAGGGAAGAAAGGAGACTATGTAAATAGAAGAGAGAATAGGAATGGTCTGGAGACTTTCTTAGACAATAACATGTTGCAAGATAGGCCAGAAGTGACAAAACAATCATAGGAGATCATGTGCAGGTAGGGGAAAGACAGGAGGATTGAACATATTTCTTTTTGCTTTAGCCTCAGTGGATTGTCTCCTTTTTTGGGTGATGATGACAATGAGACCCTCAACAATATCCTGTCCTGTAGCTGGGATTTTGAAGATGAGGAATTTCGAGGTGTTTCTGATCAGGCCAAAGATTTCATCTCAAAGCTTCTCATCAAGGAAAAATGGTATATAATCCCTGTATCTTTGAAATGTGTTTTTCATTCCATCACATCACAGTTGTGTCACTTTTGCTGTTCCATTGCAGAAATGTCATGACTTAGCTAAGTTTTTTATGTCCACATAGAATATTGTAATGCCACTTCATGCTGTTCATTGCATCCATAAATGCTCTGAAGTTACCTGAATGCATTTTTGCTATGAAGCAAAATTTACATGGATTCGCTGTCATCTGACATAGTGTCCTGAAATGACAGCATTGCATGATGGCAGAACACATGACCTGTAGGAGATAATTGTTGAATTGTAAGATTCTGGGAAAAACACTTAATAGCATTCTGGTTTTCCTTTAGCTGGAGAATAAGTGCAACTGCTGCCTTAAAACACCCATGGTTATCAGACCACAAGCTCCACTGCAGACTTCAGGTCCCTAATCTTAAATATCCGTGTGCATTGTAGATATGCTATTGCCTTCTTGTGTTGCCACATCACTATTTGCTTTGACATTTTTTCTTAACTGTTTTGGAGTCTTCCTTGCTGCTGCATTTCTTGCTACTGTGAGCCACATGTGCCCTTGCTTTTTTTAGCTGTCATAGTTTGCATGCTCACACTTGCTCATCAGTTCTTGCACATCTGGGAAGAAATATATGATCATGCAATTGCTGGGTGTTGCTGAGTGGATCCATTTCTCAGCAAAAGGGGAGTATTTACAAAATGAGCACTGAATTACCATATGAAAAGGGTTTTCCAGCCTGGGATGATTTTGCTTCCTGCTTTGAAAACCCTTTCAGGCTCTCCTGAAGTTCCCCACAAGTGCTGTTAGATTTCGTCCTGCCTCTTCCCAAGGGATACCTTTCCCAACCGAGTTTGGAACCTCACCCAGTGCGTATCTGTGTACTTAAGCACCTTCTTGCCCTTCAAAGATAGCCACCATAGTGGCCAACAAAAAAGAAGCAGTTGTTTGTTCACACAAACAATTCAGTTGGGCTGAGCTAGAGGATCAGCAAGATTTTAAATAATTTTGACTATTCCTCTGTTAAGTAGTCAGCAAGTTTGGGAGATTCACACTGTTGATGAGCTTGCTGTTGGTTGATTCTAAGGGAGTCCACTCTGTGGTTCAGTGGTTCATTGGGGGATAATTTTAAGCAGGTTTCAGAATTTTTAAACTTCCTCCTCTGCAGGAAAAGCACATCTATGTTAAATAATATGACTGGTGTGTTGCCTAGGATGTATGTGCCAAGCTGCCCTTGGAACTATATCCATCACTAAGAATTAAGAGACCATGTTATTAATTGACAAAATAAACTTATTAAAATTAGAAAAAAGGTTATGATGATAATAAAGCAGTAGTAGCTCTGCTGATGAGGTGGTGTGGGTTCTGGGCAGGATTGACTGAGTAGGTCCTGACAACTCTGTTGTTGCGAGATGTTCCTGTTACACAGAGTAAGGATAACAAGTAGTAGGATAAAATGGGAAATAATAACAATCAAATCAATTATTATAATTTTCATTGAAATTTAGTTTTCATTATAGTCTCCCAGAATAGGAATGCCCATGAGATTATTAGAAGATTTATAAGTGTGCGTACACAGTAAAAATAAGAGAGTTTGTTACGGTTAAGTATCTCTTTAGAGGGTTTCATAGGATAAAATCTGACTCCTTTAGTTGGGCCCCAGTGAAGCTCCGATTCCTGCAACCTGAGGCACAGGCTGTCTTTTCCAAATGCTGCAAGAACGCGGGGTGCTTGCCTGCTGTGCTGCTTCCTATCACCAATTTTCTTCTGGGGAAACCCTACCCTAAGAGAAACCTTACAACTTAGGTTGTCCTTTATAGCTACTTCCTGGGTATTCTATGTTCATACTTCTTGTGCTTTGCAAAATAGCTTCACTAAACGTGCTTATGTTGCAGTGTTCTGCCATTACCTTAACTAGAGGTAAGATGTGATTGATCTTCAATTAATGCTCCAATAACGGTATATTTCTGTCTTTGTTTTGATTTTCCCTAGAAGAAGGCTAAAGGTGACTGTGTGTCCCAAGCACCGCCAGCTCAATAACCTCTGAAAGAGCTGCCAAACAGAAGGTTTGTTTCAGGTCCCAAGTGTTTCTTCAGACGTAAATACTGTAGCCCCTGTGGAAGGGATCAGTGGGCGGCCGAAAACCTTGCATCGTCCAAAATGCACAGTCCGAACTGTTGTCTGGAAAGCATTCAAAATGTAAACTGGCCCTATCACTTATCCCAAGTCACAGCAATGTGCAAAAAAATTCATATATATGAAGCCATATGTGCTGCAAACCCGGCCCATTTTAGAGGGAAAGGTTATGCTCCCACTGGCTCTTATGGGGCAGGATTTCACCCAATAATTTTTCTGTGTTGAAAGCTTTCAGGTTTTCATGCTGTGGTTAGGAGTATGGTTTAAAAAAGGGTAGAAATATGAAAAGTAATTACTTTTTAGCAGAGGCACAGGCCAGACCCTCAGGGAAGCTCCGCTAACTGTAGTGAAATGAAAGCAAGGTGTCCCCTAAAAGAAGCTGCGCCACGCTTTTGAGGACCCAGTGCTGACAGGGCACTTCTCTGCCCTTTGAGCCTGTAGCAATTCAAACAATTTTGACAGAACGTCTCCCTCTGTCCTTTTTCCTGGCTCCCTGTCTTTGCCCTTTCATTAACAAACACTTCATTAGCGGTTCTTGGGCTGGCTTGGTTGCCTCCCCTGGGGACCAGGGGGACTCGTCTGCTCTCATGTTCTGTTTCTGGTCTTTGACCAAAACATACTCACTCAGCCACTTTGAAATAGGGCTACCTCAGGCGGTATAGTATCTCCATGAACCAGTGCACCAGTTCCCACAGCCATTTTTGCCAACTACCGCAGAAGTTGGTGCCTTTGTTGAAGGACCATGGGAACCACTCAGAGGTTCTGGGAGCATCTCTGGGCAAAACTCAGTGGAGGGTCAAGATGTGAATGAGGCTGAGAACACACACACGTAAAACCACTTCCTTTTAATTGTGCATCATGAGTAACAACATAATGGATGCCAAAATAAAAGTAGTCCACTTTTCACCACAAGCAAGTTTTTAATGCTGCCATCATCCATCATCTGCTTGGTAGGGCAAGTGATGCACTGGGTTTTATTTGCAACCGGGTTTGTCCAGAAACGTGAAAAAAAATAGTATTGTGAGAGGCTGAAATTTTTGTTCTGTTTTGACTAGGTAAGATTAGAACAGATTTTATACCATGTAGTGTAGTAACACAGAAGTCAATGATCTTTAAATGAGCTGTCTTGGGGACTTGAAGCTGCCTTTCCATGGGACGCTGGAGGTCAGTGGGGGTAAGGTACCATTATTATATCCTACTTGCTCTCTGAAGCCACATAACTTCCTAATATGGGAATGTCTGGGCATCAGCTTCTGTAGTAGGAATCTGGTGGTGATGAATACCTCGTTGTGTTCCTCAGCATTCACCCCAACTCCACTGGTGCTGGGACAGGTTGCTAAACCTTTGGTCCACTCATCTGTGTGCATCTACATAGTAGTTTTCTAAAAAGGTTTTCCTGACCTGCTACAGAACTAGTGTTTTTATCTGTATTTCCCATTTCAAGCCACTAACTGCACAGCAACCAAATGGTGAAAATTCTCCCTCTCTAATGCAGGAAACACTGTATTACACAATTTTCTATTACAACCAAAATCAACTTTGAGATAAATTGACTGTCCAACAGCAGTCAAAATTATTTTTAAATAAACTTTTTATAGCTTTGTAACATAGTAACGTACCCATGATCTAACCTGCAGGAAAACCTGGTTTTGGCTTTTGCAGTGTTATTTCCTCTGCGTGTGTTTTTCTTTTTGGAGTTTATTTGAGTTTACTTAATGAGTGGATCTAAAGTCATAGCAGTGCTTTGTTTTTAAAGAATCCCTTTAGCTATTTTTATCAGGCAAGTAGTATGGTCACCACATTTAACCCAAAATAATACACTCAAGTGCCAGTTGATTTAGACCTGGCATCATAAATGCTTGCAGTGGTAACGCAAATAAATGGAGAGGTTTGCAGCATGCCTTTTCATGCTGTGATCTGTATGACAAGAGAGGCAAAAAAGCAGAGTGGCTGCATTTCAAGAGAGAACTCCAGGACCATTTCTCCACTTAACAAAGAGGCCTTGTCTTTTTAATATTGTATAAAACATCTCACGGGTAAGGGGGCTGCAAGAACCCTTTGTAAGCAAGAAGCTTCAGCGTTGCTTTCTTTTCCTTACGCACAAAGAAACCACCATGTGGTTGTCCTAGAACGCTTAACCAAATAAAAAAGCATACTGCTGAATTAACTGGTTTCTTGTTTTGTTTGTTTTGCAGAAAAGCTGCTGTGTGGTTACTGCTGCTAAGAGATTTGAAAATATCAGCAGTCTTGGTGCTTTACTCCCCTGCCATGACCAAGACTTCTACTAAATGGACCAACAGCACTTTAGCTGCAGGACAAGTCCCAGCATTGCTGAGCTGCTGCTTCTCTATTCAGCTGTTGAAAGAAGGGAAGTATTTCTCCAGGTTGCGGGAAGGTGTTTCTTCTGGATACCGTGTTCTCCATGTCTGGGAGTGCAACATTAGATTGGATTCATAACAAACATTTCTCTATCTTGTCTTGCATCCTCATTCACTTAGCAAAGGCTCCTTAAGGTTCGAATTATCAGGTTAAATTGACTGTTTCTCATCTCAGCCCAGAAGGCAGTCTGTCACTGTGTTATATCTGTAGCCAAGTTTGACTTGACACTGGAGTCAAATAATTAAAAAAAAAAAAAATTGTGGCCAATTTAGAGCTGCCCTATGTAGAAGATGTGAAGTTTGTTTTTCCTGTCACACTAAAATGAGCTAAGGATTAGCGCAACCAAAGTTAAAGTCATGTTAATGTAACACCAGCGGAAGTGAGAAATGAGGCTTTCCTTGCACATAGGTGAATTTGCTGCAGCCGTGATATGATACATTTTAGGATATTTAGCCTGATGAATTACTGTTCGCTTTAAATACACTTGGATTAATTAAACAAGAAAGAAAACAAGGCACTATTCGCTTGTGCTTGTGCAGACTGTTCTCCAATATGCAAGTATATTTCAGAGTTATTTTAACAGAGGGCGATTTTACACCAGCTAATTTGTTTCGTGCTAACAGGACCAATTAAGACCATTGGCAGAGGAGAGTCAGTCCTCTGGTCATTATAACATCTGGGTACAGGCTCAAATGAAAATCCTCTGTTTTTCTAAAGTTTTCTTTTCTTACCTTGCTCCCAAGCCTTTCTGATTCTGAACTAGATGAAAAATTGGGAGTCAGAACATCTGAATTATTTACCTGAGATTGTTTCAGTATGGCTCATCATTAAATGAATCTGAGTGTTAGTTGCCTAGTCTCTGAGTTTAAAATAATGAGACCTGCTGTATATGGCTTTCTGACTGCTTGGTTTCAGAACTACATAAAAGCAAAGTATCATAAGTATTTTATTCAGGGATGCTGACCTATTATGGTGCCTTTAGATTTTCTTTGATTAATCCAGTTCTGATCAAATCACGTATTAATATAGCTATCTCTATATATTTATCTATACATTTCATATGTATTTATATTTAAATTATGTCTTTTTTTTTAAGGGGATCAAGATAAAGACAAAACAGTATTATTCATCACCACCTAATGAATTGTTTTTCGTACCTTTGTCCTTTCTGGATAGCATTCATATTGAAGTAAAAGGGGCCCATTAATGGGACATCATGGCCATGACATTCTCTACAGCCGGTTTGATCCAACGTTTTAAAGCCATTGTAGGAAATCTCTTTAGACTGCTCCTGTAAATGAATAGGGCTTCTTACAGCTATGACATCTAAGAAATACTGATGTGTTGTACTAGTTGTTGCAAATACACGACACGCATTACTACTATCACACAATGATTCACCGTGTAACTATGATACCATGTAGAGCACTGCCACCTTCAAATCCTTATCTGTAGTCTTAACTGAAGTAAACTTTGATTAGCAGAAATGGAAATTTCTTTGCGAAAAGACTAAGCAGTCTCAAAGCAATAAATCAGGCATATGACTTTTAGATAGAAACTGGGCTTATTTTTAGTTACCATTTATGTTTGCCTGTGTAAAATAAATAGGAAAGCTACCTTTCTGTTAGGGCTGAAGTTCCCACTCCTGACTGCCTTCCAGATATGGTAGCTTTTTGTTCAGTAAACAACTCGATGATCAGACTGAAATGCAGCAGACCACTTAGGAATGGCAAGATCTCATTATGCACTTTAGTGCCAGTATTGTAGGATTGGGCTGGGGGTTTTGTTTTTCCTGTGGTAGATTTTACATGGGTATGAATAAATTGCATGTCATTTTGAATCTTATTAACTATACTAAAATAACAGTGTGACTACAGTCTTATCTGCTTTGTTGCTCAGTTGAATTAAGAGGATTTATCATTTGTGGATATATACATCTGAGTAGTAATGAAGAGCTTAGTGCCATAAAGATCAGCCCTGTGTTAGAGTGTGTTGCGCTGAGTCAGCCACAAAACTTCCCGGAACCGTAGGACAACATGGCCTCTGTTGTGCGCGTCTACAGAGTTCTTCCGTACAGTGCTCTGTCAGGAATAGAACATGCGAATTACTCGGGAGGGTGGAAGAGATGGACATATTTCACCCACCTTGAGAAGTTAGGCCTTTTTACAAGGCGCGGGTTGAGGATGGGGTACCTCGCTGGCCCCTTACTTGTGCAACTGGGCAATGTGCTAATATACTTCAGGGACATGACTTTCATTCTTACTAGCATGGATAATGATGGTCACACCCTCTTAAATCTTATTTGTAAGCTGCCCCGCTGTTTCATCCTTCGAACAGCTCCTGTGGTGGGTGATGAGGTTGAGGTGGGGACAGTTGGAGGAGGATGGACTGAGCGAGTCCCTACGGTGACTGAAAGTGCCATTTGATGCCCAGCGTTAAGCACAACCATGGGCCTGCAGGTGTCCAGCAGAGGAGGAAAAATTCCCAAGCGTACTTCTTGTTATTGCCCCATAGACTCTAGATCT